TACTTGATTGTCTCAACAAGCCTAGGAGGTAGAAACTGTTAGCACTTCCATTTTTTGTTAAAGATTTTATTTATTTATTTGGCAGGTAGAATTACAAACAGTGATAGAGAGAGATAGAGAGAAAGGTCCTCCTTCTGTTGGTTGACTCCCCAGATGGCCGCAATGGCCGGAGCTGCGCTGATCCAAAGCCAGCAGCCAGGTGCTTCTTCCTGGTTTCCCATGCGGGTGCGGGGGCCTAAGCACTTGGGCCATCTTCTACTGCTTTCCCAGGCCACAGCAGGGAGATGGATTGGAAGTGGAGCAGCTGAGACTAGAACCAGCACCCATATGGGATGCCGGCACCACAGGCAGAGGATTAACCTAGTGCACCACAGCGCTGGCCCCAGCACCTCCATTTTTTAAAAAAGATTATTTATTTATTTATTTGAAAGGCAGAGTTGCAGAGAGAGATCTTCCATCTCTTGGTTCACTTCCTAAATGGTGACAATGGTTGGAGCTGGGCCAATCCAAAGCCTGAAGCCAGGAGCTTCTTCTGGGTCTCCTATGCAGGTGCAGAGGTCCAAGCACTTGGACCATCTTCCACAGCTTTCCCAGGTGCATTCGCAGGGAGCTGGATAAGAAGTGGAGCAGTCAGGACTCAAACCCGATGCCCATAAGGGATGCTGGCATTGCAGATGGCGGTTCTACCTGCTCTGCAACCACACTGGCCCCTAGCATTTCCATTTTAAGGATGTGGAAACTGTGACTCTTAAAAAGTTAAGTTACTTGCCCAAGACCCCACAGCTAGTAAAGGACAGAGCTCAGATTCCAGCCCAGGTTAGTCTGATTTCAAAACTGGTGAGCTCTGGGAGAAGATTCTGGCTGGCAAAGCTCCAGCGCCAGGGCTGGGAGTGCCAAGGGGGTCCCAGCAGATACCCCCACACTGCCTCACAGCTGTCTCCACTCCCCCAGGGACATGTTAAAGCTGGGCTCGAGCAGGCCTTGGCCAGAGGTCCTACAGGAACTGACAGGGCAGTCCAACGTGTCCACAAAGGCCCTCATGACCTACTTCAAGCCCCTGCTGAACTGGCTGGTGACTGAGAACGTGCAGCACGGGGAAGTGCTGGGCTGGCCGGACTTCAGCTGCTCCTTTGAAGGTTGGATCATCTGACCCTGGTCCCAGCTCTGGCCCAGCCCCTACCCTGACCCAGCCTTAGGCCCTAGTCCATCTATGGCCTGGCTTGACCAGCACAGCACTGCTGCTGTGTGCCCACTGCTGCTGGCTATGCCATTCCTGGCACAGCCCATGCCCCAGCCCTGACTCGGTTGCTTCCTTGCAACACTGTCCAACCAGACTGCAGGCTGAGCAGAGGGTGGGTGTCTTGCCTCCCGACACATCCATGGGATGTGTACCTTCTCCATGCCATCTCCTCCCTCCCTTCCTCCTATTCCTCTCCCACCCTCCTTCAGGGGCAACACCCTCACCTGTGGCTCGGGAGGCAAGTAGGTGCCTGAGGCTGATGGAAAAAGCCAGTAGCAGTCGGCGCTTCCCTGAGGGCCAGAGGGGACCCCAGGGCTCCCTCCTCAGGTCCACCTGCTGAGGGGACTCTCATGCCTTCCAACAGAAAAAATCTCAAGCAGAGCGGTGTTCCTGGGTCTGGAGGTGGAGCCCGACAAGGTCACGTTCTGGCAGTGGGGCCTGCTGGCCCTGAGCTTGACCATGGTCCTTGTGGTCCTGGGGCTGGCCTGCAGGCTGTACTTCCTGGAGAAACAGTCATTGGCCCAGGACTCCTCCATACTCAGCACCCTGCCCTACACTTACTTCCTGGGTATGGCCGTGGAACCCCGCCAGGCTGCCAGAAGGCAGTGGATCCTGCTGGCCATCTGCCTCTTACTCGTGCTGTGCTCCATCGGCCTGACCATTCGGATCTTCACACAGCACCACAGGCAGCCTCCATGGATGAGAACTAAATGGTGGAGCTGGGACTAGCCAGTGAGACTGGTGAGGCTGGGGCAGGAGGAAGCAGCTGAACCAAAGAGGATGGTGGGAGAGAAGGGGACAGCCTGCAGGCACAGGGCCTGACTGTGGCTGAGGGCAGCTGTGGCAGATCTGGGCACAGGAGACGTTGTGACTGTGTTTGCAAATTCAGGTGTGTGAGGCCACGGGTGCCCTGAGTTCCAGAGCAGAGCCCTTCGCCCTGCGGCTCAGGAAGCCTGGTTTTACTGACCTTGTGACTGTGTCCCTCCAAACCAGCCCCCATCCCCAGTCATGCCCAGAGCCTTGTTTTGTTCAGGAGCTGGGCTACCAGCTTGGCCAGGGCTGTAGTACCCAAAGAGTCTCCACTGTGGCTAGAAAAAGGCCCCTGCTTCAGTCCCCTTACAAAGCGCTCTCAAGTAGACGGTATTCTTTCGCAAATACCCGGAGCAGTTCCTTATGCTTTGGGTGACTGGCTGGCACAGCTCTCTGGCCTGCTGCAGGTTGGGCTGCACAATCCATCCCCCAAAAGCTCTTTGCTGCTCACCTGAGATGCCGGCAGCCTCACCAACTGTCCTGTGGCTCTCCCTGCCCCTGCTCAGGCCCTCCTGATTGGAGACAGTGGGCAGCTGGGCACCAAGCCAGGCCTGATTAATGATTGACTTCTTTAATATTTAAACAAAGCTCATCTCCAGCCACTCTGCTCTGGAGATGGCCTTGTTCAACACACACACCTGCTGCCTGGCCCGTTGCCTTGGGGAGCGAACACAGGGCAAACAGCACTTTTCCAGGCTCAGTGGGGGAGGGAGAGGGCAGAGAGGAGAGAGCTACAGGAGGGATATTCAGGGAATTAGAGCTCTAGGCTTAAGCCCAGGAAGAGAGGGGGAAACCTCTGCCTCTACCCCTGCCAGCCCTCTCTCTCCAGCCTGGGTCTGCCTGCCATGGGGATGCCACACCCAATATGTGGAGACCCACTGAGTCTGGACTGGTGCTCCAGGGTTTCTGGAAAGCTGGGAGAGAGTAGAGGAGACTTGAGGGGCAGTGGCATTACAGTCAATGATGACAAAGAGGCACTGGGAGTGCAGCTGAGCTGGTGGGAGAGCAGCCAAATGACGGAACAGCTCTCTCTAGATTAAGGATCTGAGCCTAGAATCCAGAGGTTTGGGGGTAGCGGTGCCAGGCTGAGACTTCCATGGGCCCTACATCTGCCCCAGAGTTCGAGAAATCTTCCTGAGTTCTGGCTGAGTCCACATACTTCCTGCTCCAAACCCAGGCTCAAGACCACCCTTGCTTGACAGCCCTGTCACTGCTCTTACTTCTCTGTGCTGTCACCTGTCCCCATCACAGCTGTGAACTGTGAGGACTGGATGCACATCAGCCGTGTGCCCCTGCATAACAGCTGTGGTCAGCACATGCCATGGCACACGATGTGGGCTTGGAAAACATCTGGATGAGTGAGTGAAGGAGTGAGTGTCACACTGCCCAAGCTCCTCCCAGAGCTCAGCACCCCTACCCACTGAGCCCGTGAGAAACAGTGCTACCTTTCCTCCACAGCCAATCTGCTCCCCATCAGGGGCAGCCAGGACACCTCTGCCCCCTCCCCCAGGAGGCCACACTTGAAGCCCTCTCACCCCCCAGCCACAGTGGCCAGCGAGGCCCCCCACCCCCGGCACTGAGTCTGTGTGGCAAAGGCACACCCAGCGCAGGACTCCAAGCCTCCCACCCGGATCTCGCAAAAGCCTCACCGAGCCCCCTTGTCTATCCTCTCTCCCCCTCACCGCCATTGTACAGTTTATTTTGCCAGAATATTTCCTTCATGTCTAACTGAATAAGAACTGGTTGTTGATCAATTAAATTGAGATATTCAAAATGGTACCTGAGAGTCTTTATCAATTGCACTTTCTCCCCACCCTTACCTCTCCTGCCCCACAGCTGAGCCCCTCTGTAGAAACAGCACCCTTGGTTTTGCCTAAGGAGACTGCTCCATTTGAATGCTTGCCCTTCAAGAGCTGGCCCAAAATTGTTCTCTGGACCCCTGTAAAGCTCCAAGCTCACCAAGATGCTCAGTGAACAGCAGGCCCTTTCTCTCCCTCCTCTCCAAGAAGCTTCTTTTATATATATATATATTTTAAAGATTCATTTTTTGAAAGAGTTACAGTGAGAGGGAGAGGGAGAGAGAGGGAGAGATAATGAGAGAAAAGAGAAAGAGATCTGACATCTGCTGGTTCACTCCCCAAATGGCTGCAATAACCTAGGGCTGGATCAGGCCAGAGCCAGGAGCCAGGACCCAGGAGCTTCTGCTGGGTCTCCCACATGGGTACAGGGACCCAAGCACTTGGGCCACCTTCCACTGCTTTCCCAGGCCATTAGAAGAGACCTGGATCAAAAGTCGAGCAGCCGGGTGCCTCTATGGGATGCCAGCACTGTATATGGCAGTTTAACCTGCTATGCCACAATGCAGGTCCCAAGAAGCCTCTTTCAAACCTCACCCCTACCCCCATCTGCTGCTTCTCATGCGTTCATATTCAATCAGTACTTTTATCAGAGGTCACTTGCTAATAGGTGGTTTTACATCTCTTCTCCTTTCAAGCTATGCCTCTGTGCTAAGAGCTCTCAGCCCTCTGAGAAAGGCACCTTATTGTATATTTTTTATCAACCTTCATGTGCTCCCTTACCCCAGCTTTCAAGGATCAGGCTTTGGCTGTACCAGGAGCTGAACCAAGAGCTCAGCCTGGGCCCTGGGGCTCAGCTGGAGGGCACTTGTCAAGGGCAGGCAAAAGGCCTAATGGTACCATGCCAAGATCAGGCCCAGTGGTTAAAGACTCCCTGAGGCCCCTTAACAAGCCCTTCTGCTCACTCTCTTCCCTGCCTGGGAGACTCCTCTGTACTGGGAGGGGCGAGTGCCCTTCAGGACCTGGAGGGGATCTGAGAGATTCTGGGGCCACCTGGACACCAGCCGATGCTGCTCAGCGAAGCCCTGCCCTACTCCGGGTCCCGGGCCCCGCCCCGCCCCGTCGGCCCGCGGAGTGTTCCCCCGCCCAACGGACCCCGCCCCGCCGCCAGCGCGCGCTTTCAGCACCGCGGCGCGGACAGCTCCCGGGCGGGCGCGTAGGGAGGCGGTGCAGCGAGCAGGGCTAGGGGCCGGCCGGGCGGGCCGGGGCAGCGGACGCAGGCGGGAGGGCGGGGCTCAGAGCCCCGCGGCCCTCCCCGGGGGCGGCGCCCACTAGGAGCCCGACGCCGCGGAGCCCGAGGACAGGCGGAGACGCTGGGAGTGGGGGGCGCCAGGCAGGGCCCGCGAGCGAAAGATGCCGGTCCGCAGGGGCCACGTCGCACCCCAAAACACTTACCTGGACACCATCATCCGCAAGTTCGAGGGCCAGAGTGAGTGTGGGGTGAGGGGCGTTCTGGAAGCCTTGTTCGGTGGCGGGAGGAGCCGGATCCCTTTACTAACTTTTGGTGGGGCAAGCGCAGCAGTGCTGGGTGCTGAGATCCAAATCCTTGGCTTTGCCGTCGCCACACCTTCCCCACCAGCGACCCCGCTTACCCCAAATGCTGTCCTGCCCCCTGGAAACCTCGGGACTGAGTGCAGCCCCGCTTCCCTGCAGAGCGCTCTTCCTACCTGCCCAAGCCGGGACCTCGCCTTCTGCCGCTGCCTCCCTCTCTCTTCCCGGCCAGCCCCCTCCTCTCTCCAGGGGTTTCCTGGGCTCCCTTCTGCTCACTCCCTGCCCCCCACCCTGATCTTCCTAGGAGCTCTGCCCAGGCCTGACCTCCCACCTGGTCACATCCTTGATGCCTGGTGCTGACTCCATTCGCTGTTTCTGGGGGTCCTTGGGCCTTCCACCCACCTCACTGACCCCTACTGCCCCCAGGCCTAAGCACCCCCTCTCTGGGCAACATCCTGCCCCTCCCCCTCATTACTCCCAGGCCTAATGACCCTTTCCTATGACTTAGGCCTCCTTGGTCTTCCCTCCCTGACCTCTTCCTCCCTCGTTCTGGTCCCTATCCTGCATCTGATTCCTACACCTGCCGCTAAGAGCCCCCTCCTGCTACCCAGCCCTGGCTGCCATGGTTTTCCCACCTTCTACCTCCCTCCCTAGGTCGTAAGTTTCTGATTGCCAATGCTCAGATGGAGAACTGCGCCATCATTTACTGCAACGATGGCTTCTGTGAACTCTTTGGCTACTCCCGAGTGGAGGTGATGCAGCGACCGTGCACCTGCGACTTCCTCACCGGCCCTAACACTCCAAGCAGTGCTGTGTCCCGCCTGGCCCAGGCACTGCTGGGGGCCGAAGAGTGCAAGGTGGACATCCTCTACTACCGCAAGGATGGTGAGGCACATGCAGGCTTGGCTCCCTCTCATGTCCAGACAGGGGGCCTTGAGGGAGGGCTCTGCCATGGGGACCAAAGGACCTGGATAGATCCTCTGTCCTCTCTGGGTCTGTTTCTGCATCTGTAGGGGGAAGCAATGGACATTAGATGTGATGCCTTCTGAAGTCCTTTTCAGAGCCTGGGACCAGGCTGTGCCACCAACTGCCACCGGCCTAGGGCAGAGCTTCTTGCTCCACTGTCCCTCCCCCTTGTCCCCAGGCTCTGGGCCATTCACTCTGTCACTGTCAGCCCCAGCTGTCAGGCAGCTGGGACGGAAATTAACCTTCCCTCATCTCCGTCTGCTCTGGGGATTAGGGGAGGAGTCATTCTCTCAAGGCCTCTTGGCCAGGCAAGGCACAAGGGCTGCTGAGTGGGAAAGAGGGGTGGTTCAGGCTCAGCTAGCCCTGGCTCTTTGGGGAGATGGGGTCTGGAGTTTCCTGTGACCAAGAGGCTCATCCGGGTAGAGTTTCGCTTGTTGCTGGCAGCCCAAGCTTACTGCAAGCAAAACAGAAGCACAGGTCAGGGGCTAAGGACAAAGAATTCCACAGCCCCCTGGGATCCTCCTCCTAGGACCACAGCGCCCCCACTGGACCTGGGAGGCAAGGGGTGGGCGTTGGGGGAGGGGGGCATTAGGAGCTGGGATCAGAATCTAAAAGTCACGGGGGAAAAACACCTGGATCAATGGCTGTCACCCTGGTTCTGCATCAGAATTACCTGGGGCATATTTTCCAAAGCACACCTTCCCCAGAGAGAGGCTGACTCAGAAGGTGTGAGAGGAGGCCTGGCAGGTGTATTTTGAAAAATCTATCTGGCAGTTCTGATGTTCTGTCATGTTCAGGACCCACTGACTTAGATAAATCCCTTCATTTTGTGGATGAGGAAGGGACTTCCCCAAGACCCCATTGCTGGGATCCACTCTAGAGCTAGAATCTAAGTCTCTGGAAGTTGTAGGAGAGGAGAAAGCCCCAATGACCTATGTGCTTGGAGGCAGGACTCCTGGAGAGGAAGCCCCCAGAAGAGAGAAACCCCCAGGGAAGGCAGGCATGAGCCACCTGAGCCCAGCTGAAGGGCAGATGACATTGGATTGGGACAGAGGTGCCAGGAGCCCAGGTTCTAGGGGCCTGGTATGGGTGTGGAATGTGAATTGTGAGGGTGAATGTGAGCATGTATGTGTGTGTTGCCAGGTTTCGGGGGTGGGGCTTCTTAGCAGGTCCTCGCTGGCCCCTGCTGCTGCTACCCAAGCGAGTATCAGGTGGAATGCCTCAAGCGGGGGCAGCAGTTGGGGGCTGGGAAGAACCTGGTTTGTTTTGGCAGTACTCACTGGGTTAATGAAGTCAGAATCTTTTTAAAAGCTGTGACCTCACCTCCTCACATCATTTCAAGAAGGAGGTGACAGTCAGGAGGGTGAGAAGGGTCCCAGAGGGAACAGGATGGGATAGGAGGAAGTGAGGAGGGGGACAGCAGGTTCTCTTTGTCCCTTTCTGTGACCCCAGAGCTCTACCTGGGCTCCACATGAGTGAAAACTGATCCCAGGCTCCGGGAGATGTCATATAAGGGCTCCTAGACTCCTAGGCTCTCAGGTGCCTGAGCAGGGGACAGAGGTCAAGGCCAGACTTTGGCCCCCTGAGACCAGGTCTCAGGTCTTTAAAACCATGCTGGGGGCCGGCACCACAGCTCACTAGGCTAATCCTCCACCTGCAGCGCCAGCACTCTGGGTTCTAGTCCCGGTTGGGGCGCTGGTTCTGTCCCGGTTGCCCCTCTTCCAGTCCAGCTCTCTGCTGTGGCCCAGGAGTGCAGTGGAGGATGGCCCAGGTCCTTGGGCCCTGCACCCACATGGGAATCCAGGAGGAAGCACCTGGCTCCTGGCTTTGGATCGGCGCAGCGAGCCGGCCGTAGCAACCATTTGGGGGGTGAAACAATGGAAGGAAGACCTTTCTCTCTGTCTCTCTCTCTCTCACTGTCTAACTCTGCCTGTCAAAAAAAAAAAAAATAGCCATCAGAAGGGATCCTTGGAGCCTGGCCTTGGAGGCTGACCCCAGGTGAAAATAGGAAATTAACCACGATGGTGCCTGTGAGTGTCAGCTTACTCCTACCCTACCCTCAGCCCTCCCTGTCCTGCTGCCCAAGCATTTCACCACCTGGACCTCCCTGAAATTGGCCTGAAGCACAGACAAGGGAGCTCCCTAGGCGGTACTACCTTAGGGGAGGATGTGGTGCTCAGGTAACTAATGTCACCTTACATCCTCGTGCAGGGATATCTCACAGTCCTGCTCAAGGGCATCCCCAGGGCTGATTTCCTCCTTCTTCGGGTAAGCACCTCTCTCCACATAGGCCCCGGCCCCAGGGAGGTGGCAAGGGGTCTGACTAGATCTTTAGCTGGTTATTTATAACCCTCTTTTCCTCTAAAGAAGCAATCTGCTGAAAATTCTCCAAGTCGAAGTGGACGGTCTATGTTTGTGAGTCTCCACATTGTGCAGCTGCAAAAAGTTGGAGTCAGGCCAGGACACTTGGCAAAAATCACCTGTGACACAGAGCTCGGGGACCCCTGAGAAACTGACTCTTTTTCTAGCTGCCTTTGCTAGGAAAGTCAGAACCTAACAGATAAGGGGGAAGGACATTGTCACAGCGCTGGACCAATGAGAATCTGGAGGGAGGGATGCAGACCACTCAGACCCTCCCCGCTCCCCCCTGTTCCCACGGGGCACTGCCAGAGGGTCTAGTTCTGCCTGCTTTTGCTGGGAGTCCCCTAATCCAAAGGCCAGGATGACGAGGACAAGGCTAGGCTGAGGTCGGGGCTGCTGTCTTCTCCCCTGCCCCCAAGTGTTTCCTGCAGCCTCACCCCTGAATCCCAGGGGACCACGCTGGGGGAACGGCATGGAGCAGCCACCCTCCCAGGGTCAGCTTTTTGAAGCACCAGCTCTTGCCCGCGGGCTCCCCACGATGCTGGGTGGGATGTATACAAGAAGACGGGGGCAAAGGACAGCAAGGAGGCTGCCGAGAGGAAAGGACCAGGGCCAGAGTGGGGAGAGGGTGTGAGTGATGAGAAGCTTGAGAGGGAGAGAGCAGAGAGAAACAGGGCGTCCCAGGGGACACAGAGGCCTGCTGTCATCAGTAAGAGGCAGGTGCTGGGGGAAGCCTCTGGAGGGGAGAAACAGGCAGAGACTGGGCTCCTCCAGGGACAGGGACAGGACCACTGCCACTCCTGGGCACAGTCAAGAGTGAGAGACCCACCTGCTTCTGGCCACCCCCACAGTGACCTGTGGGCCCTGAGCCATGGCAAGCAAGGACAGCCTGGGCAGGGGGAGAGAGAATGCTCTGGAATCTTCCAAGTTCTCATGATCTGCCTGCCTGCTCACCAGGCAGCAAGCATGGGGCAGGGCATGGGGTACCATGCACTGACCTCCCCCCACCATCACCACTGCTACAATGGGCTGGTCTGTGGTTCATTCTCAGCTTCTGTTTTCTAAGGACAGCATCAGCTGATGGGCACACCCACTTAAAGGCTGGGCCTTAGCAGCCCTCAGAGGCAGAGAAAGCCAACAGGCCTTGCTTCTCTGCCAAGTTCTGGCCTCTGCCTGCCACCTACCACGCCAGATCTCTGCAATGCCAGATTAAGGAGCGGCCATAAGGGGAGGGTCCCAAGCTGCTGGCCAAGGAGGCTTCCTGGCTAGGTCCCAGGGTCCTTACCTTGCCTGCCTCCGTGAGCCCAGGAGTGGAGCGAGCCAGGCGGGAGGCCCCTCCCTGGTGTGGATGTCTCCCCTGGGCCCAGCAGCAGCTGGCAGGTGGCCGCCTGGTGCCTGCGAGTCCAGGAATCTGATCCAGGAGATTCCTGCTCTCTGGGAGGAGAGTGAGGGCTCAGCTGCACCCCAGCTCTGATGACCGTGAGGAGAGGCTGAGAAGCACGCGCTAAGTAGGGATCCTGGAGAAGAGTGATTGCTCCCCGAGTGCCAGCTCTCCTGTCAGCTGGCCTCTGTCCCTGTCATTCACACAAACGCTTCCATTCACTCATCAACACACAGCACCTGGGATGGGCGGCACAGACCCGACCCTGCCCACACAGGGAGTGCAGCCCTGCCTTCTGATGTGTGTGGTGGCCTGGGGCCCCCTGCCCTGTAAGGCCCTGCCCTTGGGGGCTGACACTGGCCAGCAGTTTGAGTCAAGGGACATAGGACAGCCAGGGAGAAGGGTTCACAGGGCTCAGGCTGTGGAATAAGTGACATTTTAGCTGCTATAGTCCCACCCAGTGATGAGGAGGTAGCAGTGAGACTTGGAGCAGAGAGAAGGCCAGAGATCCCAGCTCTGTGTCCCCTCCAGCCTCAGCAAGTCTGTTTCTCTGGACCACAGGTGCAGAGCGGAGGCCCCCCCATACCTGTCCCCGAAGGACATCAAGAGCCCCAGTGTGCCAACTGGCATGGGCCCAGCACTGAGCACTTGCTATGCTCTGAGCATCTAGTGCCTTCCTCGCAGGGAGCAGGGCACCTCTTGTGGGGTGGGAATATGGAGCTGAGCCCAGGGCCCGCGGGAGCTCCGTGGGGGGCAGACTGTCCCGCCTCACTCCCCACTTAATCCACCTCCATCCATCTGCTCAGCTTTAATTACAGCAGACGCAAACCTTGAGGTTAAGCCCTGAGCTGAGCACTGAGCGTGGACTTGGACCTGATGCTACATTATCTCCTAATGAGCCGCTTAGCTGCTCTCCCCACCTCTGCCCTGTGGGTGGGGCCCCTGCTGGGCAGCCTCCCCCACACCCAGCGCAGGAGCTCTGGTCACTGTCCAGGCCTCTTCATCCCAGTGGCTGCCATTCATGTGACCTTCACAGAGTGCCCTTCCTAGCCAGGTCACTGCAGGGAGGAGCCCTTTAGTAACCGACCCCGCCCATGGTCTTTGCAGCCTCCAGCTTCCGCTGCCTGGTGGATGTGGTGCCCATAAAGAACGAGGACGGAGCCGTCATCATGTTCATCCTCAACTTCGAGGACCTGGCCCAGCTCCTGGCCAAGAGCAGCAACCGCAGCCTGTCACAGCGCCTGCTGTCTCACAGCTTCCTGGGCTCTCGTGAGGCTGGTGCAGGTGGCGGTGGGAGGGGCACATGGGGAGGGGGGCACTAGGTGGAGCCGTGGGCACCCCCGCCCTAGCTGCTCTGACCCTGGCCCCGGTTTCAGACGGCTCGAACAGCAGGACAGGCGGACAGGGGCCTGGCACAGGCAGGGGCAAGTACAGGACCGTCAGCCAGATCCCGCAGTTCACGCTCAACTTCGTGGAGTTCAACCTGGAGAAGCACCGCTCGGCCTCCACCACGGAGATCGAGATCATCGCCCCGCACAAGGTGGTGGAGCGAACGCAGAACGTCACGGAGAAGGTCACCCAGGTGCGGGCCTGCAGGGCGGGGAGGCCGGGCTGTGCCAGGCCCCCACTTGGTCGGCAGAGGGCTCCATCATCCTGTCCGGCTCCTTACTGTCTGGCCTCAGCACTGCTCGAGGCTGATTCTTTACACCTAACTAAAGGCCTGTCCTGACGACCACCTCCTAGAGCCCTGGGAGCCTGGGGTCAGTGGGACTGTGAGCAGCGCCCCCTCCTAGGCATGGAGAACTGGGGAGTGTGGGAACACCACGAGGTCTGCTCCGAGGCCAGGAAGGAGAGGCAGAGGGGGCATCTGTCAGGGATGCAGAGGGGAGGGGGATGGCCGGAGCCCCAGCCCTGCTCCTGCCCCGTGCCATGGAGAGCATGGTCACCCCACTCGCAGCTTGCCATGGAGAGGCAGAGCAGGGCAGGTGCCTCCAGCCGATTCTGAGAGGCTTCCTGGGGACCCAGACTCAGATGCCTCCCTCGCCCTGCAGCCGCTCCTCGGCCAGCACAAGGCAGACTTCTCTGGGTCCTCTGTCCCAGCTGACCCTACTGTCCCTTCCTTTGGGGCTTTGCAGCCTGATTGTTCCACAGGGAAATGCAAAGGTCCCTTCCTGAGGCCCTGGGGAGCAGGGTCCTTGCACTGACTTTCACCGTGACCTTGGGCGAGGGGCCACAGCCTCTGTGCTGGCTCTCATGTGCTGGAGAGAAATGAACTAAGTGGTCCCATATGACCTTAACTGGCACTGCCCCAGGAGGCAGATGGAGCTCTAAGCCACAGAGAGGGACCCAGGCCAAAGCTGTCCGTGATGGTGCAAAGCAGGGGAGGGGGCCTGCTCCCAGCTTCCCTTGGGGCTGGCCCTTCATGGGGGCTGAAGGACAGCCCTTTTCCTCCCTGCCACTTTCTATGTGAGGGCCCCACTTTACAGTCAGCCCCTCACTAAGCACTAAGACCCTGGGGAAGGAGAAGCCCCAGCCTAACCCCTGCAGTCCCCTTAAGCTCGTGGCCATCATGACGGAGGCCGTTAGGTTGGGGGAGGTATCCATGGCAACAGGCAGGCCTGGCTGAGCTGGCCATGGTCCTGCTCTTGTCCTGGTTACACGACTCAGCTCCTGAACGGCGATATCGCGGCGGCCTCGGCCTGAAGTTAAAGGGCCTAGGGGGCTGTGATCTGACCCGAGCCCCTCTGCCTTGAAGGCCCTGCAGCTCTGGGTGGTGCTGGGCAGAGCAGAATTGCCCCCAGAGAGGCCCTCACGCTGGCTTCGGGGACAGAGGGGGCTGGGGGGCCAGTATGGTGGGGAGCGGTTCTCCTGTCTGGGGGCCCTGAGGAGTTGAGGAAGTGGACCCTCCTCCCAGCAGACTTGCAACCTCCCCAAACTCCTACTGCCTCCCTCCCACACCACACACCGATGGGGCGAGGGGAGCGGCTGGCAGAGATGAGGCTGTGCTGTCCCATCTCGGCGGGTCCTGAGCAGCTCTGATGCCCAGGGTGTGACAGCACAGCCACTTGGCCTCTTTGAGTCGCAGCCCCAGCTCCCAAGCATTCAGCCACCTGCACCTGAGCCTCGTGTGGACCAAGTGCTAGGTGACGGGGTGAGTGGGCCCAGCAAGGGGACAGAGGCCCACGGAGCTTGCAGTGGAGAACAGCCAAGTGGTCAGGGCCTTATACAGAGACAGAAAATCAAAAAAGTGGGTTCAAGTCTGGGTGGAGTAAGAGGAGACTTCCTGCGGAGGGGGAAATGTGAACCCAGGCCTGACGACTGAGCAGAGGGACACTGCAGGGTGGGGACATTGTGACCCCTCCCAGGGGGGTGATGTCAGATCAGGGACCGTCTGGCTGAAGCCAGCCCTTTGACGGATCTTCCTTATTGCTAGCTGCTCTGCTTTGCAAGGTCAAGGCCTTACATTGCAGATTTTCTGAAACCAGAACCAGACCCTATCTGGTGGGGAGGGGTCCGTGGGACACTGGCTCTGTCCATCCTTGTTGCAGCCGTGCCTGTTGCAGGATGTGGCAGCAGGAGGGTGGAGCAGACATTACCACACCTGGCAGCCTACGGTCACCCAGAAGCCAACAGATGCCCCTCAATCAGTTGTAACCCTGTGAAACTTGTTGTCCTTTGTTACCCAATTTTGCAAACAAGGAAACTGGGACCCACAGGGGTGACAGCACTTTTAGCAAATCTTAGACCTGGCATCCAGCTGGCAGGTCTGGCTTCCAAAGCCATGCCTTTCCTCACGCTCCAGCTGTTTCTCACGCTAGGCAGCTGGGCAGGGCCCGGGCATGTTGGGCTGGGGCAGGCTGGGGGACCAGGGCGAGGGGTATACAAGGAACAAGTCTGAGGGGACAGATGTGCTGGGGAGGTGGGCCACGCAGCAGGGTGCCCCAGGCTCATGAGCTCCCTCAGAGACAGACCATCCTGGAGCGTGGAGGCAGGGCAGGGCAGAACCAGCATCACCCCCAGGCGTGTTCCTGGGAACAGCCCAGATGGACGGAGTGCTGGGTAGGGTGATGTTCTCTGGTGGGCTTGGCGGGGAGGGGGCTGTGGTTGGGGTTCCTGATGGGAACAGGTCACCCTAGAATAGTCTCTTCATGCTTGACCAGTGAGGGCTCTCCCTGGGGGCGACTCTCAGAGCTTCTCATGGGACCAGCTCATCCGGACCCTTGGCAGGTCCAGGTGCCCTTTCCTTGCAAGCCTCGCCCAGCAGCCCTGTGTCACCAGCAGTGGCTGCCGCACTCACCGCCCCGGCCCCTACACCCAGGTCCTATCGCTGGGCGCCGATGTGCTGCCGGAGTACAAGCTGCAGGCACCGCGCATCCACCGCGGGACCATCCTGCACTACAGCCCCTTCAAGGCGGTGTGGGACTGGCTCATCCTGCTGCTGGTCATCTACACGGCCGTCTTCACCCCCTACTCGGCCGCCTTCCTGCTCAGCGACCAGGACGAGTCACAACGCGGGGCCTGCGGCTACACCTGCAGTCCGCTCACCGTGGTGGACCTCATCGTGGACATCATGTTCGTCGTGGACATCGTCATCAACTTCCGCACCACTTACGTCAACACCAACGACGAGGTGGTCAGCCACCCTCGCCGCATTGCCGTCCACTACTTCAAGGGCTGGTTCCTCATCGACATGGTGGCTGCCATCCCCTTTGACCTGCTCATCTTCCGCACGGGCTCGGATGAGGTAAGCGAGCCCCTCCCAGGCCAGCGGGCCGTAGCTGTCCCTTGTGCCCTAGCCCCGAGGCCTCTCTGCCTCACAGCCCTGGCACTGAGCACATTGGCCAAAGCAAATGGAGGTGGACAGGGGCCCTGGGACAGCTGTCATCGTCCAGCCCTGGACAAGGATAAGCTGAGACTGTGCCTGCAGGGGTGCCGTCTCTCTGTGCATCCTCTGAGCCGGCCCCAGTGGGAGGAGCAGGCTGATCTGCCCCACAGATCTGCCCCTTCTAGGACAGGCTTTCCTCCGCCCCAACCCCTCAAGCTGCCTCCTATGCCACGCTCAACCTTGGACTGGAAAGAGAATCCACAGGCTGCTCCCCCAAAGCACCCTCGTGCCCCTCTTGCGCCGGCCCCTCCCCTTGCCCAGCAGCCGCTGGACACCACCCCTCAGCAAATCCAGCTCCAAGTCCTCTCCCTCCTATCTAGTCTGCAGCTGCTACCTGAACACTGAGTGGCCTCTTACCCACCTCTGCCCCAACTCACACGTTACCTCCTCCATGAATCTCCCCCCACCACACACCTCTGCCTCTGCAGACTTCAGTTTCTCTTCCTGTTCCCACTGGACTTCGGTCCGAGCAGCCAGAACACTGCCTGGAGCTTTAGGCTGACCGCTCCCTACGATCCCACACTCCGTACCCCAGTGCCAGGCGTCTGGCCCAGACACGTATTTGTTGAATGACTGTGTGACTGCATGCACAAGTGACAAAACACGGGCCTCAGAGCACATGGGCCTCTCCCTGTTCCTGCAGACCACGACGCTGATTGGGCTCCTGAAGACGGCGCGCCTGCTGCGGCTGGTGCGCGTGGCGCGGAAGCTGGACCGCTACTCCGAGTACGGGGCGGCCGTGCTCTTCCTGCTCATGTGCACGTTTGCGCTCATCGCGCACTGGCTGGCCTGCATCTGGTACGCCATCGGCAACGTGGAGCGTCCCTACCTGGAGCCCAAGATCGGCTGGCTGGACAGCCTGGGCGCGCAGCTCGGCAAGCACTACAACGGCAGCGACCCGGCCTCGGGCCCGTCGGTGCAGGACAAGTACGTCACGGCGCTCTACTTCACCTTCAGCAGCCTCACCAGCGTGGGCTTCGGCAACGTCTCCCCCAACACCAACTCCGAGAAGGTCTTCTCCATCTGCGTCATGCTCATCGGCTGTGAGTGCGCCCCCTGCCGTGGGTCTTCCCCGTGCGAGTCTAGCTGGAGTTTTAGACCGAGCTGTGGCCTATCAGCCAGCAGTGACCGTGCACGCGGCAGGTTGGTCGCAAACGTGCAGCGCGGTGAAGTTTTGCATACGCGCACGCCAATTACACACAGCAGGTAACACCCATTCAGCCCTCGCTGTGTGTCAAGGCGCCAGGACTGGCTACCTCACTGGCAGGGCCAACTGCAGTATGAAAACCTAGAGCCCTTGTTTTAAAAAATAAAGAATGTTGGCCGGTGCCGCGGCTCACTAGGCTAATCCTCCGCCTTGCGGCGCCGGCACACCGGGTTCTAGTCCCGGTCGGGGCGCCGGATTCTGTCCCGGTTGCCCCTCTTCCAGGCCAGCTCTCTGCTATGGCCTGGGAGTGCAGTGGAGGATGGCCCAGGTGCTTGGGCCCTGCACCCCATGGGAGACCAGGAAAAGCACCTGGCTCCTGGCTCCTGCCATCGGATCAGCGCGGTGCGCCGGCCGCGGCGGCCATTGGAGGGTGAACCAACGGCAAAGGAAGACCTTTCTCTCTGTCTCTCTCTCTCACTGTCCACTCTGCCTGTCAAAAAAAAAAAATAATAAAGAATGTTGGATTGGTGACAGCCGAGCACTAAACCAGGCACAGGGCTCTTAGCGAGGGGCTCTGTGTGGTCGCACGGGCAGCACACGGAGTCCGCCCTGCGGAGCATACTCCATGCCCTGAGGAGCCCGGTTTCCAGGGCTAGGACCAAAGGACCTAACCAGCAGCCTAGAGCACACAGCTGAGAAGTCTCTGAGTCCCAGCCCCACCCGGGTGGCCACTCCAAGGCTCTCAGAATTTGTGATGCCTGCCTCGGCAGACACCCGGTTTAGGAACACAGGAGGCAGTGTGGGACTTCACACATGGATGGAGTTACTATGTTCCAGAGTATTTAGAGACTTGAAAACCCGCAAAAAAAAAAAAAAAAAAAAAGGAAAAAGTGGGTGAAAACAAGCTTCCCCTCTATTATATTTTTACAATTTGAAGTGGAAAACGAATCTGAACTTAAAAAAAAAAGTCCATTGCTCTAGATCTTTCTGGGCAAGAGTTTGGCCTCTGGAGCCTGGGGAAGGTGCCAAGAGGCCAGGGCAGAGGGAGGGGGCAGGAAACCCTGGGGCCTTTGTCCCCCGTGGATCCTGCTGTTGTCCTGGGCCCTGGAGAGGAAGGCAAGGGGTGACGCGGCCGGGGTTGGCAGCGGGAGCTCACGGCGGCCTGCCCCCCACTCCCGCAGCCCTCATGTACGCCAGCATCTTCGGCAACGTGTCGGCCATCATCCAGCGCCTGTACTCGGGCACCGCGCGCTACCATACGCAGATGCTACGCGTCAAGGAGTTCATCCGCTTCCACCAGATCCCCAACCCACTGCGCCAGCGCCTGGAGGAGTACTTCCAGCACGCCTGGTCCTACACCAATGGCATCGACATGAACGCGGTGAGCCCCCGCCGCCCCGCCCCGCTAGCGCCCGGGGAGGCCGAGGTCCCACGCGTGCAAGGGGCGCCCCCGAGCCCTCCCCATCCCCTGGAGCCTGTGCCCTCCTCCTCCTCGCAGGTGCTGAAGGGTTTCCCCGAGTGCCTGCAGGCCGACATCTGCCTGCACCTGCATCGCGCGCTGCTGCAGCACTGTCCGGCCTTCCACGGTGCCAGCAAGGGCTGCCTGCGCGCGCTTGCCGTCAAGTTCAAGACCACGCACGCGCCGCCCGGGGACACGCTGGTGCACCTCGGGGACGTGCTCTCCACACTCTACTTCATCTCCCGCGGCTCCATCGAGATCCTGCGCGACGATGTGGTCGTGGCCATTCTAGGTGGGGGAGGAGGGGGTGGGGACAGCGGGGAAGGGGGGGCAGGCCCTTGTTGAGGGGTTGGGGAGGGAGCAGGGGGCTTAAGTTCTACCCAGGCTGCCTTCCTCCCAGTAAGGACTGGGACACCTTTGGGCGACCAGCCAGGTGAGGAGCTTGTGCCTCAGAGAGCCTTATACCCAGCTCACTGAGCCCTTAAGGCAACCCCCTGCCGGGGGTCCCGGGGAAGCTGAGGCCCAGAGAGGTCGTGCTGGTCTGTGGCAGAGCAGGGACTGGTGTCTGACTCACAAGCCCGGGGCAGGTTCCTTATTACCTTCTTACCCTCTTGGGTAGTTCAAGGTGACAGGTCAAAGGTCAGTCTCCAGTGCAGCTGCAGGGATAGCTGCACACTTTGGAGGAAGGGTATGAGCAATGGGCAAAGGCATGCACTGGATGACAAGTGCTCACCTTTGTGGCCGCTCTGAGCGTCACAGGGTCACCCAGTCCTCATCTTCATTGCCTTCCCTGTGACGCTGGCTCCACCCCCAGGCTCCTACTCTGCCTGCAGCCTTGTCCTCCATTGGTCCCCATGGCCTGGCTCTCCTCCAACCCCTCTGGACAGTCCTCCTCAGGTGCTCCGCCCCTCACCTGCTTCTCCACCCCTACACCTTCACCTGGGCCAACTCCTTGCTCCCACAGCTCCAGGTTCCACCTGCACCACAAAGACCCCCTACGACTCTGCCCTAGCCCCCAACTGTCCTTAGACTGGAATATTCCATTTTTTTTAAGATTTTATTTATTTATTTGAAAGTCAGAGTTACAGAGTGAGAGACAGAGAAAGATTTCTTCCACCTACTGGCTCACTCCCCAGATGGCTGCGGTGGCTAGGGCTGAGCCAGGAGCCAGGAGCCTCATCCAGGTCTCCCATGTGGGTGGCAGGGGCCCAGACACTTAGGCTATCTCCTGCTGCTTTTCCCAAGCACATTAGCAGGGAGTTGGATCAGAAGTAGAGCAGCCAGGACACAAACCAGTGCCCGTATGGGCTAAACAGCTACACCACAACACGAGCCCCTGGAATATCCCATTTCTTTCTGGGTATGACCACCCTCGTATTCCAAAGACGGAGTAAACAGAGAACATCCCAACCTGAAATCTTCATCTTCCCTCAAAGGCAGGTCCTTTGGCCTCCTTGCCCCTGTGAACCACCCACCCTCAGCCAGGCTGGAGTCAGCCAAGGGAGTGTTCTTCCTCCCTGTCCCACCACCCATCATGCAGTTGGCCACAGAGCCCTCTCTGCTGCCCTCACTGACACTTCTCTGTCTCACACCTATCTCCCAGTCCTTGTGTCTTCCCTGGGAAGGTGTCAGGAGCTCCTTTCCCATGGACCTGCATCTGGTCCAACCCCATCTTCATCTTCCACCTTCTCCCAGTGACCTAAATGCATACCTGTACACATTCCTCTTATGTTCAAGATTCTTCAGTGGCTCCCCATGCCCCATGGGAGAAATGCCCTGTGTACGGCATGCACAGTTCCCCCCAGTCTGGCCACCCAAGATCTGCTACCCTCCTCCTGGGACTTCAAGCTTCAGCCACACAAACTACTTCTAGTTCTCTAAATCTCCCAACTCCATCACACCGCAGTGCCTTTGCACACACCGCAGTTCCACTTGCAGTGCCCTACCCAGTGCCTCTGTCTAGCAGACCCCAGTCATTCTCCAAGACTGGGCTCAATCAGACTCAGGCTCCTCTAAGACACCTTCCCTCTCTCCCAGCCTACCTTAGGAGCACCACGTGGGTGGGATAATCATTACTATTAATAATTAAGAAGCTAGTCCAATTTAAGTTTCGGTTAGAGACATGAAATCCTCTCATTTTTTTCCCTGAGTAGAAATAGATATTAGATCCTAATCCTTCATCTGCTGGAAAACCATCACACTGGATGGCGCCCAGATTTCAAGCTTCAGGCTTTTGCGTGGGATCCTGGCGAGTCCTCTCCCCCTCTAAGCCTCACTCTCCCCTCTGTAAATGAGCTTTGATCCTGCTCTGCAGGGGAGGGCAGTGTCTCTGCCTCCATCCATCCCTCTGTGTGCTAAGCCGTCAGCGCCCCTTGTGCAGTGCCACCAGGCTGAGGGCAGGGGACTTTGCTGTGCCCACTGGGCCCAGCAGGGTCCTGGTCAAGCCCCTTCCCCAGCATTGACCCCACGCTGTCTCTTCCACCTGACTGCCTTTCTTCTGGGGACCCAGTCTTCGTTGATTCTCTGAACACAGCCCACATTTCACTCCCTCAGGGAGCCCTCTCCTTGCTGTCCCAACCTCCCCTGACAGAAGGAGCCCCTCCCTCCTGTGTGGCCCCCAGCTCTTGGTTCTCTCCTATTCCAAGGCTCTCTAGAACATTCTGGAAACAGGCTGGCTGCTATGTGCTTGTCGTGCAGGCATTTGGGGGACTCCTTGTGGGTGAGCCAGCATCTTATTCATGTTTGTGTCCTGTGGCCAGTACAGCACCTGGCACCAGGATGGCCTAATATGCCCTTGTCACCCCCCACCCTGAGTGTCCACCTCATGCCCACCCGAGGCCTCCATCCCTCCCAGTGCCTTGGCCTGGCACCTCTGGCTTGTTCAAGCACGTTTTCAGGCAGCATCTCTGACTAAGCCCAGCGGGGTAGACAAGGCAGACATGGTCACACCCATTTTAGAGAGGAGGACACTGCAGTCTGGAGAAGGGCGGTGACATTGCAGGCTTCTCTGCCAGGGCTGAGCTGGTGACCTGGCCCCACCGTGGGGAGTGGGAAGATAAAGGGACAGAAACCTCAGGCTGTGCCCTGGAGGAGATGGGAGCCCTGGCCCTGGGCCTCCTGCCCTCTGCTGTGTAGCCAGCCCTGGCAGGTGGAGGGGAGCAGAAGGAACTGAAACAGGGAGCCTCCAGCACCCTCTGTAACCCCCATCCCTTGGGTGGGAGTGGGACCTGTGCCAAAAAGCACAGAGGGGGGATTCTGATGGAGGGGGCTTTTGAGGGACCTGGAGATGGCGAGAGGACCATCTGTGGGGGGCGGGACTGGCTCTGAGTGGGTCTCCATGGAGCTCAGAAGACAGGAGAAGACACCCCAGCCAGCACTTCTAGCCCTGTCCCCTTGATCCTAAGCACCAGGCCCCAGCCGGGCAGGAGTAGGAGGAGGCCATGGTCAAGGGGCCCTTGAGGATGCTCCTCACAGAAGGGAGCCTGGGGCCAGACCACGGCCTCTCTGGCTGGCAGGCAAAAATGACATCTTCGGGGAGCCCGTCAGCCTCCACGCCCGGCCTGGCAAGTCCAGCGCAGACGTGCGGGCCCTGACCTACTGCGACCTGCACAAGATCCAGCGGGCGGACCTGCTGGAGGTGCTGGACATGTACCCTGCCTTCGCGGACAGCTTCTGGAGTAAGCTGGAGGTCACCTTCAACCTGCGGGACGTGAGTCTGGGCTGGGTGGGCTGGGGTGGGGGTGGCGGGCCTTGGCCAGCTGGTTGGAGGTGACACCCAGGCTTCCACTTGGGGACTTGACCTTCCTGGCCTAAGGGGACCCACTGCCCTTCCTTTCAACCCCATCCTGCATCCCTTACCAGAATTGCATCCATGCCTACTGTGGCCAACACGGTGCCAAGTGCAGTGACAGCTACTGAGGATTGAGCACTGCCTGTGTGCGGGTCCTGAGCCACCTTTCTCTTATCATCTCGTTGAGTCTCACTCCCAGGCAGGGGCGGAGCTGCTGGGGTGGGCACTGAGCCTCTGCACCCCCTTTCCCCTCCCCCTTACTTGCACCCCTCAGCCTCGGGAGGAGGCTCTGCTGAGCCTGGCCTGTGCCCAGCTTCAGGAGGGTGGCGCTGAGATTGGGTTTCTTGCTGTGGATGCTCCTCCCCCTCCCCCCAGTCGCTCCCCTGCAGCCTGATCTGGACAGGACACATCCAGCAAGGATCGCACTCTGGGAGTCCTTGTGTGGACACTGGGGCAGGAGGGATGTGGTCTCTGTGGCCAGGTACCCCCAGGACTCATGCTGCCAGGAAAGGGGCTGCCACGGGCACTGATGAGGGCATCTCCCGAGTGCACCAGGGGTTTCAAACCCAGTCTCCTTGCAGGAAACTCCCGGTTGGCCCTTGCTGAGTGGGGAAGCTCTGGGCGCTCAGGAAAAGAGGGACTGGGAACGCAGCTCTTCTGCCCTCCATCCCTAAGTCTTGCTGCTTGAGGCAACCCCCCTGCCGAGACTCCAATAGGGGTCTACACAGGGCCACCTGGTGCCCGGGCATGGGCTCCAGGCCTCTGTGCACCTGCCCACCCTCATCAACAGACAGCCTGGGAGTAGCCGCCCAGGGCACTGTGGCCATACTCAGCCTCCTGTCCCCACTTGCTTACCTGGGTGTGACCAGGTCCCTGGGGAGTGAGGGGGATGGGGAGGAACAAAGAGGCCCCATCCCAGCTGTGGTTCTTGTTACTTGATGCTCTTGTTCCCTACAAGGCAGAAGGGGGTCTCCAGTCATCCCCCCAACAGGCCTCGGGCAGCCGAGACCACCCAGGCTTCTTCCTCAGTGGCAACCAGTCAGGTGAGCACAGCCAGCCCTGCCCCTGCCAGTGTCTGCCCCAGCCCAGTCTCCTGCCCCCTGCCCACGTCCTCTCCATCCTGCCTCCCCAGCCCCTCGCTGAGCACAGAGGGGCTCCCTCCCTGGACTCAGGGCCACAGGCCTTTGTCCCCCAGCCTCCTCTGGCTCAATGTGTCTTCCGAGCCAGAGAGAGAGGCTCACTGAGTGCCAAGTGCTGCCCCCAGGGGTGGATACTGCTCCAGCCCCCGGGTTCCACACCACGGCCTCTGGGGACGGCTGGGCTGCAGCTCTCTGGGCAGAGACCAGCATTAGAAATCCTCACTTGGCAGCACCCCTGAAGCTGAGGCCCCATATCCCCTCCCAGGGCTACAGCCTCCTAGGTCCCGGAAGCCGGCCCTTCGTGGGGGCAGGACCTGTGCTCCAGGGCACCCAGGTATACTCCTTCCGTTCCTGTGACAGGCAGCAGGAGGACACAGGCTCTGCTGGGAAGGAATAGGCCTGTGGAGCCAGCTGGACTGAGCTGAGGCGCCCCTCCCCCCCTCCAGGTGCAGCCCCTTCCTTAAGTATCTCAGATGCGTCTGGCCTCTGGCCCGAGTTGCTGCAGCCAATGCCCTTAAAGCACAGACCCCCAAGCCCGCAGGGAGACCCAGACTGCTGGCCCCGGGAGCTGGGCTCCAGGCTGGATCAGCTCCAGGCCCAAATGAACAGGTGAGTGCCCTGTGGGCCCCCGCCAGAGGCAGTGGCAGAGGACAGACCTGGGTGCTGGCGCCCCCTCCTGGTGACTCAAGGCCATCACTAGTGCCGGGTGGGTTTTAGAATGACCGGGCCACTTAGCAGCAGGCCTCTCTCCATCCCTATCATTAACCACAGTCCTTGAATAACTTCCCCCAGCAGACCCTGAAACATACCAAAGAAGCTTGGGATGGGGTGTGGCCTGTGGACGGCAGGGCTGTGGCGACAGAGTGAGGGCTTAGGGGTGGCACAGACCCAGCTTTCAATTCTTGCTCTGCACTCTTGCACTCAGCAAGAGTGTGGACAAGTTATGTAATTACTCTGGAGCCTCCGTTCGCCCTTTCAAGAAATGGGGAGAATTCGAATGCCCATGTGAAAGCAAACAGCAGGACCGAATGATGCGTGCTCGGTGTCTGGTCACAGGTGTCATCAGTCAGGGCCGTGCTAAGGGTAACACGGGCAGGGGCTGTGGGTCCTCGTGGGAAATAGCTTCAGGGAGGTCCAGGTTGCCATTTCACTGGGCGGCAGCAGCCCGCAGACTACAAAGCGGGGAGCCTGACCCTTACCGCGGGGTTCTGTCTGGCAGGTTGGAGTCCCGCATGTCCTCAGACCTCAGCCGCGTCCTGCAGCTCCTTCAGCAGCCGGTGACCCAGGGCCACACCAGCTGCATCCTGGGAGTCCCTGCCTCCAATGACCTGGCTTTGTTTCCTGCAGCCTCGGGGACTCAGAGTCCAGGACCCAGGCTGTCCCCTGCACAGGTGAGAAGTGAGGGGATCCCCAGGGATGACCAGGAGGCAGCTGCATGCCTTCGCCAATCCTAACTTGATGTCCATGTGACATCAGGTCCAGAACCACTGTGGCCCCTGGGCAACCAGGGCTCTGCCATCCTCTCTGAGATGAGTGGTGGCCTGGACAGAGGGGTGGCCAAGCCCAGACTGGCAGCCACAGACTCACAGCCGAGGCAAGGGCAGCAGGACCCTGAGGTACAAGCCAGCAAGTGCAGCTCTTGCTGGCTCCCATTCCCGAAGTTGGGGGGATGAACCCACAGCCTGGCCTCGGGGCTCCCCCACACTCCATGTTGCCCTCTTTCTTGCCCCTCCCAGGCCGCAAGCTTTGGTGACTTGGACAAATGTGGGCCGAAGCACAGGAACTCCTCCTCCAGGATGCCTGACCTGGTTGTGGCTGCGGATCAAACCCTGACTCCGTTGTTGGACCAGACGCGGCCCGAGGGCCTCCTGTCACCCCTGGCCTCTCCTTTGCATCCCCTGGAGGCACAGGGACTGGTCTGTGGTCCCCGCTTCCCCTCCCTCCCTGAACACCTTGACTCTGTTCCCAAGCAGCTAGAGTTCCAGAGACACGGTTCCGACCCTGGATTTGCAGGCAGTTAAGGCACCAAATCCCAATACACCGTGAGGGGAATGAGTGAAGGCAGACAGCTTCTGAAATGGGCCTATGAAAACCTTTCTCCTAGAGTAGCTGCGAACTGCTGGCCGGGTGACCCGGGGGGGGGGGGGGGGCACGGATGAAGAGCTTCAGGACTTTCCCAGCTTCCCAGGGGCTCTCTGTAGCAGCAAGCCTGGCAGAGGGCGGGGAGCCTTGGGCATGGAGGTAGCTTACGGAACAGAGAGTTGGTGAAGAAAGATGTTCCTGATTGTCCATGTGAGGGCCTGGCTGTGCACTGCACATGGTCATCTCCCAGCTCAGCACCACCTGCTTCTTGGCCCAGCACTAGGCCTGGGTTGGTCAGACCACTGGGAGAGCCCAGGATCCAACTGGAGGTGTAGGTGACCTCTGGGGCAGACATGTTGGAACAGAGCTACAGCCCTTGGTCCTTCTGCCTCTGGTTTTCTGATGACATCTGGGTCCCTAGAGGGCCGTGGACCGTCACTCAGCTAATAAAGCCTATACATATCATGTTGGGACAGGTGTATGACTTACCTAAGGAGCTGATAAGGACCTAAGGAGCTGATAAGACCTCAACTGTGCTGTGATCTTCTCCAAGTAACTTCTCACCAGGGCCTGGGGGCCCACCTTCTACTATATCCACTGTGCTGGGGACCTGAAGTTGGTTCCCTGGACCCAGGCGCCCTCAGAGCCTGGGGCTGTTAGCCAGGCTGGGGAGAAGGGAAGCTTGGTGGCCCTGGGAATTATGACAACAGCCAACTCTTCGTGAGGCTCTGCAGATATCAGTATCTACTCCTCAAAGCGAGCCCAGGAGTCGGCGTTATTGTCCTCATTCTAGAGAACGTGGGATCAGCAGCAGAGGAAGGGACTGCAAAACCACCCAGGCGCGTGTAAGGCCGCCACAAAACACACCAAACACCGGAGTGAAGGGAAAAGCTGTCGGGTGGGGGAAGCCTGGCGGGCTGGGGGAGAAGGCGAGAGTACGTGTTGGGGAAGAGGTCCTGGTAAACCTCTGCCAGCGGCGGGCGGGGAAGTAGGAGCAGTGAATCCCATTAGGGTGGGGGTGGAGCCGACACCTGTGGTTGGGCCATGGGGTCTTAGGACTGAAGCTTACTATGCAAGGTGGCGATGACAGGAGCCAGAGCCTAAGCTGGCGCCACAGATAAGACGGCACCCTTTTACTAACAGCATGCTGGGACTTTTGGGGGTGCCGGCATCATTTTGTTTCCTGATCTTGGAGCTGGTTACATGAGAGTTCACATGTACTTCCACATACAAATGATACTTCAGTTTTAAAAGTGAGGTATTTAGCAAAATGGCTAAGGCACCCACAACCCATCCCCAGCCCTGGCTTCTGACTAGCTTCCTGGCAGTTCACACCCTGAGAGACAGATGTGATGGCTCAAATAATCGGATTCCTGCTGTGTGGGAGACCTGGCTTACATTTCCAGCTGGGGGCCCAGCCCATCATGGGCTATTGTGGGCATCTGGGGAGTGAACCAGCAGATAGGAACTTTGTCTTTCTGTCTCTCTGCCTCTGAAATAAAACGTTTAAAAATGAGGGGCCAGTGCCGGTATCCCATATGAGCACCAGGTTCTAGTCCCGGTTGCTCCTCTTCCAGTGCAGCTCTCTGCTGTGGCCCAGGAGGAAGCACCTGGCTCCTGGCTTTGGATCGGTGCAGTGCACCGGCTGTGGCGGCCATTTGGGGAGTGAACCAACGGAAGGAAGACCTTTCTCTCTCTCCCTCTCTCTCTCTCTTTCTCACACACACTGTCTATAACTCTGTCAAATAAATAAATAAATAAAATATTCATGACTAACACGATGGGAAAAGGACATAATTTCAGCGCAGGCAGTCTGGCGTGAGAGTTTGTGCAGTTAACCATTCTGCTGAAGGGGCTGTTATCTCCAGGATACCAACTCACTGACCTTCAGTCTCGGTACTTTGTGCTCCAGAACTCTCTAAAAGAATTCTGGGAAATTTATCTCTCCTCCATTTTTAAGTGGACATCTGAAATATTTCATTGATAAGTTTAAATAGTTGCAAAGGAATCAATGTCCAGTGCATTATAAATATTGACACTATATAGAATTTTTTCATCTCATGTATATTTATCCATATTTATCCAGGTAACATAGATTTTAGAGCCATCATCATCCACTTTAAAAACATAAGAACAGGTTTTCATAAGTCTAATTATCCCTTCCACTCTAGTTTTAACCTACATGTAATTTATTTTGATGCTTAAAAAATTTTGATAACCCTATCATGTTTGCAACACACGTATATTAAACTGAAATTTTAAAAAGAATTGTAACTTTAATAAGGCACTGTAAGTAGTATTAAGTGGGGCCAGCATAAAGGCCCCACCTGCGGAGGCAGCATCCCATATAGGCATGGGTCATGTCCTGCTGCTTCAGTTCCAGTCTAGCTCCCTGCTAATGTGCCAGAGAAGGCAGCGGAAGATGGTCCAGGTGTTTGGGAGACCATACGAAGCTCCCAGCTGGCTTCCACCTGGCCCAGCGCTGGCCCTTGGGGCCATCTGGGGCCTGAACCAGCCAAGAGAAGATCTGTCTCTTCTCTCTAACTCTGCCTTTCATACAAATAAATCAACCTTTAAAAAATAAAAATTAAGAGCAAGGCTGGTGGGCTCGGTGCCCAATAAAGACCAACCCAAGACATGGGAACATTTCTAGAATCTGCAGGAAGGCGCTGTAAGGCCTGACTCAAGCTGGCTTGGCCCTGCGCACACCTGCTGCGTGTCTGAGGCCTGCCCTTGGAGCACTGGAAGCACAACTCTCCCGCTAAAAAGGCTTTGAGGGATAAGTGCGGCGGGCCAAGAGGTCAGGCCTTGGACTCAGTACTGTAAAATGCGGTAGTCCTCCATTAAGACAGAATTTAAATTTTACTCAACAGCCTAGGGAGGCCGCTCAGTCTAGCAGCAGCAACGGTGAAGTCAGGGCAGGTCGCACAGAGGTTTCACTCTCAGCCACTTGGCCTAGAACTTGCAGGTCGCCTCTGGGCCACCCACGCCCCTATTCACCCGCACTGCGCCGTTATCTGGGTGACTGACATCTTGGCTAGCCAATGACCTTCGGGACTGTGAAAGCGCCTGCCTCCAGGAATTGGGCGGGGCAACTACTTGGAATGATAAATATCTGCACCAATAGCGAGGAGATTTCAGACGCCGCGGTCGTAATAACCAATGAGGAGAAGGAACCATTTCGAAAGGACGTGTCAAGCAGCCAACGGCCGACGCCGCTCCAGGGGGAGCGGGTGGGGGGCGGTCGCGTGGCTTCCGTTCCGAGGAGGCGGGGCGACATCCCAAACGGAAGGTGGTTGTTGTCGGTGCCGAAGCTTGTTTGAAACTGGGGGTCGGGCCCTGTTGTCGTTGTTTGTCGCCGCGGCCCCGCTTCCGGGCTAGGCAGTTCCTGCCCGCCCCCGCCCCGCCTCCCTTGAGACCCCTCCGTCCCAGGCCCGGCTCCCCGCCCGAATCCGCGCCCCGCTCTTCACTCCCCGCTGCCGCCCCGGCCCGCAGTGCGGCCCCGCCGCCACCATGTCCCTGCACGGCAAACGGAAGGAGATCTACAAGTATGAAGCGCCCTGGACCGTCTACGCCATGAACTGGAGTGTGCGGCCAGACAAGCGCTTTCGCCTGGCGCTGGGCAGCTTCGTGGAGGAGTACAACAACAAGGTGGGCCGGGCAGGGGCTCGGAGCCCAGCCGGCGGGGAGCGGGCCCCGGGTCTGGCCCTGTGCTGGCGGTTCCGCTCTCGTGGTCCCACGTAATCCTGCGTGGTCGGGAGCGTGGAGGGGAGACGGAGGCAGCGCGTGTGACTTTCCCGAGGCAGACGGGTATTTCGTGGTGGTAACAGGTCTCAGAGCCGAGCTGACGTTCTGGAGCTGCGCCAGGTGTCCGCTCCCAGGCCCTCCACTCCTGCCGCATTGCCTCGGCTGGGAGGCGGGGAGGGAACAGGGAGCGATGAGGCTCCCCAAGTGGTGGTCGCGGCGTCCCTGGCTTGCTGAGGGTTTCCCCGCCCCCTAGTCGCACTCGGCGCGTCCCTTGGATCTGCATCCCTGCTGCCTGGTTTCCAAGGCCTTCGCTGTGGCCTCCCGCGACCTGCCCTCTCCGAAACAACCTGTTTGTTTCTGGACATCTTGGCCTGCAGCATCATCCCGCCATTGTTTTCTTGGCTTCTTATGTGCTAATAGTCCTGCCGTTTGTAACCTCAGGTAGCGGAGCTGACCGGACGACCACCAGTTTGAGAATCCTTCATGGAAACTCTGTTGCTAGGGGATGCTTCTGCACCTGCAGTGCAGCAGCGTGCATTTATTTTTGAGAGTAATTAGCTAAGTCAGTGGGAGGAGTTTTCTTCTGTATCTTGTTTTTCTTGTGTTGGAGCAACAGTTGTGAATAACCGTGAACAGAGCACCTGTAAGGTTCAGCTGGTGGTGTTTAGAGGCTTTCCTGTTCCTCCATGCATATCAGATTGAAGAATAAAGCTGTGGCCGTTGGCAGGCCTGGTGCAGGGGAAGAAAGGATTGAGTTCCGTCTGGTTCACCCACTGGCTTTGAGGCGTCACACCCCCGGTCATTTCTGACCCACAGTTTGCTATAGGAAAGGGGTGCTGCTTTACACATGAAGATCTGTAAAAAAATAAAAATCTGAGCTTTTAAAAAAAGATTTATTTATTTCCTTACTTGAAAGGCAGTTACAGAGAGAGGGTGAGATAGAGATCTTCCACTGACTGGTTCATTCCCCAAACGCTTGCCAACAGCCAAGGCTGGGCCAGACGGAAGCCTCCACCCAGATCTTGCACATAGGTGACAGGGACCCAAGGACTTGGGCCATCGTCTGCTCCTTCTCAGGTGCAATAGCAGGGACCTAGATCTGAAGCAGAGTAGCTGGCATGGGAACTGGACTCCGCTGCGTGCCACTGCACCGCAGCACCTGCCCCACAGCATTTGAACATCTTCAGTGTTCACAGTTTTTCAGGAGCACATTTGTTTCTCTCTACAGTAGGTCTTAACTTCTTTAGGATCCCCTTTGGGAAACTGACGCGAGCCACGGGCTTGCATTGCCAGACATACTCATACACGATTTACAAACAAATCCTAGTGAGTATGCACTGATCTTTTAAATTTACCACTGACTGTGCAAGACGTAGCTTTAAAAAATTTTATTTATTGGAAAGGCAGAATTTCAGAGAGAGGGAAAGACAGAGGAGAGGGAGAGCTTCCATCAGCGGTTGGTTCACTCCTCAAATGGCTACAACAGCTGCGGCTGGGCCAAGTGGAAGCTGGAGGCCTGGAACCCCATCTGGGTCTCCCACAGGGTGTCGGGAGCCCAAGTACTTGGGCCATCTTGTGCTGCTTTCCTGGGTGCATTAGCAGAGAACTGGGTCAGAAGTGGGACTTGAACGCCGGCGCCGCAGCTCACTAGGCTAATCCTCCGCCTTGCGGCGCCGGCACACCGGGTTCTAGTCCCGGTTGGGGCTCCGGATTCTGTCCCGGTTGCCCCTCTTCCAGGCCAGCTCTCTGCTGTGGCCAGGGAGTGCAGTGGAGGATGGCCCAAGTGCTTGGGCCCTGCACCCCATGGGAGACCAGGAGAAGCACCTGGCTCCTGCCATCGGATCAGCGTAGTGCGCTGGCCGCAGCGCGCTGGCCGCGGCGGCCATTGGAGGGTGAACCAATGGCAAAGGAAGACCTTTCTCTCTGTCTCTCTCTCTCACTGTCCACTCTGCCTGTCAAAAAAAAAAAAAAAAAAAGTGGGACTTGAACAGGTATTTATATTGGATGCCAACATCACAGGCATTGGCTTAACCTGCTGTACACAGCGCCGGCTGCAAGACACAGCTTTGTTTCTTTTCCTCTGGTGCCTCTTTCTCCCCTGTGGCTTGTAGAGAAGGCAAAACAGCAAGTGGAGTTCAAGGTCCTGATGTCGACATCATATTAGTAAAATTAAGACCACAAGAACTACTCTTTCAAAATACACATGAAAAAATAAAAAGTAAGATACGTCTTTCAAACAACTTGAATCCACATAAAGTGATGTAATTTTGCAAGTTCTTTCAGGGTCAGTGGGCAAGCTGTGGCTCTCATTTCTGAGAGAGACAGACTGAGACATAGTTAGGCTGCAAGTGGAATCATGGGCTAGTTGATGTCAAACCTCAGTTGCAGGAAGTTCCCAAAGTTTTTCTTTAGCAACTGTATGGATGTCCTTCTTTGTGCCGGTCGTGTAGGCAGGCGGCTGCAGTGGTGAAATACAGATGAATCCCTGTATTAACAGAATAAGCAGTCAACTCTGTCTTGTTTCATCCATAATGTAGGCAATGCAGTGTCTTACAGTTTTAGTGCCTCTACCTATCTGTAAGTGAGGATTCTTTTTTTTTTTTTATTTTAATGAAATTATTTGACTCTATTACCTCAAAGGTCCTTTTTCTTTTTGACAGAGTTAGTGAGAGAGAGAGAGAGACAGGGAGAAAGGTCTTCCTTCCGTTGGTTCACCCCCCAAATGGCCGCTACGACCGGCATGCTGTGCCGATCTGAAGCCAGGAGCCAGGTGCTTCCTCCTGGTCTCCCATGCGGGTGCAGGGGCACGAGCACTTGGGCCATCCTCCACTGCCTTCCCGGGCCACAGCAGAGAGCTGGACTGGAAGAGGAGCAACCGGAACTAGAACCTGGCACCTATATGGCCAGCTGGCACCGCAGGCAGAGGATTAACCAAGTGAGCCATGGCGCCAGCCCCAGTGAGGATTCTTCTGTGTGTATGTACTTTGGATAAACGGCTTTGGTAATTTGATACCAGTAGACCCCTTCTCATAATTGTGTTTTCAAATGCATAAAAGACATAGGATTCAATTAGGAAACTAATTGAACCATAGATAGCCAAACTACTTTTTAAAAAGTGGTGTATGATTAAACCACTGCATGTGACATTGGCATCCCATCTGGGCTCCAGTTTGTGTCCCAGCTACTCCACTTCCAATCCAGCTCCCTCCCCGCTAATGGCCTGGGAAAAGCATCTAAAGATGGCTCAAATCCTTTGGCCCCTGCCACCCACCTGTAAGACCTGGAAAAGGTTTCCAAGCTCCTGGCTTCAGCCTGGCCCTGCCCAACCCCAGTGGTTGTGGCCTTTTAGAGAGTGAACTAGCAGATGAAAATTCTCCGTCCCTCTCTCTCTGACTCTGCCTTTCAAATAAATAAATCTTTTTTTTCCAAAGTGGTATATGCTAATATGTACTGTTAAATTGACTTGTTAAATTAACCATCCAGTGTAATGTTGACTGTAATTTTGAAGTACTGATGAGGGTAAACAGTACAGCATTCCAAGATGTGTATCGGCCGGCGCCGCGGCTCACTAGGCTAGTCCTCCGCCTTGCGGCGCCGGCACACCGGGTTCTAGTCCCGGTCAGGGTGCCGGATTCTGTCCCAGTTGCCCCGCTTCCAGGCCAGCTCTCTGCTGTGACCTGGGAGTGCAGTGGAGGATGGCCCAAGTGCTTGGGCCCTGCACCCCATGGGAGACCAGGATAAGTACCTGGCTCCTGCCAACGGATCAGCGTGGTGCACCGGCTGCAGCGCGCTGGCCGCGGCGGCCATTGGAGGGTGAACCAATGGCAAAAGGAAGACCTTTCTCTCTGTCTCTCTCTCTCACTGTCCACTCTGCCTGTCAAAAAAAAAAAAAAAATGTGTATCAATTATGTAATGGGATATGAATTTTTATAGGTGACAAAGTTAAAGATACTTTACACCACTGTGTGTATGTTCCTCTGTAATTGAAGGAAATGATACATTTCAACTAGAGCTTACTGGAAAAATGAATGTAATTTTCTACTGAAGAAGTCCTGCTGTAGATCTTTGCATGGGGGCAGGTGGGCAGTAAATCCTACCTTTAGGGTGGTTCTCAGGCTAAATTTCAGAGAAACCTTGCCATGGATGTGGCAGACTCCATAGTTTAGACAAAGTTAAAATTATTGGTTGGACTTCTCACACCATTGATTCCATTGTCAATAGAGACAAAACAGATGGATACAACCATTACCATCAATGAAGCCTGACATGGTCATCTTTTTTAATGTGGAAACATGATTAGAGTTTTTAGATTTTTTTATATTAATGTGATTATGTTCTATCATAAGACTGTTCCTATAGTTGGTCCATAGACTTAAAACTATGAACATTTCAAGAATTTGGCTTCTAGGCCTTTCATCATATGAATAAATTTGGGAATCAGAGTAAAGAAACATTTCATCAACTACAGCAGGAATAAAAAGTCCCATTGTTGATTGTTGTGTTCTACACTCTTTTTTGAGTTCTCTCTTAGGGTATGTAGCGGTAGTGGTGTTGATTTTAGTGTGAGATGGTCCTAGGCCTCTCCTGAAGGTGACATACAAGCAGGTGGTTGAACTCAGGTCATCCGGATGACACTCTTAACATCACCCTGGAGTTACCTTGGCATTTGCTGAACAGAAGCAGGGATCCAGTCTCTGCATCTGCTTTCTCCCGAACATTGTTTCTGTCTGACCATCCAAGTTCATCCATGACAAATGCCAGACAGCCTCTTCGAGGTAGCCTGAGTTGAGATCTTCGTTTTACCACTGCCCACGTTTGTGTGGCTTTGGACAAATTCTCTTTTGTGCCTCAGTTTCCTCATCTGTCAAATGAAAGTATTAAGTATATCTACTTTATCAGGTTGT